ATAACATATTTTTATATTGTGGACAAAAAATGAAAAAGAAATGCTCTCACCATACTTTTGAATTTGGCAGTTTTCCGTACGGTAAAACTAAACTTTTTAGATTTCCATTGTCGTCTTTGTATTTAAAAACTGTTTTATCCGTGCCTTCTGCAATATTCTTTTTTCAAGCTACTTTTGATATTAAATTTCAAATTTCCGCTATGTTTCGGCGACGCTTCCCGTCGGTGGATTCTCTGTCTTTTCAGGAAGAACTCGCCAAAACAACGAACACCGCTTCCTCGATGTTGAACGTATCGTAACGATAGCAGACAATGACTATTTCGGGGATCGTTTTGCCGACAGATGAAACCACGGTCGAGTGCGCGATTAAGATAGACAGTTCTTTGATACCGCTTTTTTATGGAGATTGACATGCATGTACTATTTGGTGAATATATTCCGGTGATTGTGAAGTTCTGCAGGGCGCGTCAGTTAGCATTATAGTCGGCCTGACAATGCCAGTATGCTTTTAATATGATAAGACCGGAAGAACGCATGATAAGACCGGAAAAACGCAGACAGTTTAACAAAAAATATCTGAGAATTATTGTACGATAAATTGTAATATTATAATTGTTCTAATAATGTTATTCTATAAATGTCATTGTAATACACACGTAGTGGTTAGAAGCTATTTTAGAAGTTATTTTATAATTGTTGGCTTCTTAATATTAGTAATTAATGATTATATACTGTAAAAATATTAAAAATTGCCTTTTCTACATTTTTGCACGATTATTATTAATGTAAAAATAAAAACACATTATATTTAACAATATTATTTTAAACGTTTGTGTTTTGCAGCTTCAAACATTTATTTGGATGAATATTGTAATATATGCCACACACATAGAAGGAATAATAAATACATCTTTAAATCAAATATTTATGATTTTTATAGAAAACTATATGATCAACATCCAAGCAGAACTATATGATCACACCCAAGCAGAACAAGTCATTATGATATCAAAATGACTCCAAAATGATTATTAAAAATTATTTTTCAATCATTTCCGATTCATTTTAATGTCATTTTTGATGTTATTGTGACTTGTTTTATTTGGGTATACTATATAATGTATAATATATAATGTGTGTGTGTATGTAGTGATATGATTGCTACAGGATAGTGAAAAATTTCTAATTGATATTCTTGTCAGAATCATTATGATAATGCAACGACAAATTAAATTACAAATTAGTTAGTTTGTACTAATTTGCAATACCTATGATTCCCCGTATTAAGCGATTATACATGCGGAAATACAAGGAAAAAAATCATATGATGGATCGAGAAGTTGAGCAATTCTTATCTTTGTAAATTTAATAATTCATTATTTCATCTTTAAAATGACGAGAATAATAATCATGTTAATCAATATTAGCGAATTATTAAACATTTTGACGAAAATAAAGAATAAATCAAATATAAGTGGAGAATGGCACAAATGTAAATGAAACTCTAAAAAAGCTTAAATAATTTGCATAAAAAATAAGCGGTTTCTTCTTAAAACGCTTTCTTTTGTATCAATTTTTGTTTCCTGAAAGTTTTCTATGTTTCTGTCATTTTTCTCTTATATTTACGCTCCGATTTTTATTTTCATCAGGACAGCGATGGATTGACTATTAGGCGAAACAGGCGATGAAACTATTGGATTAAATTATTATTCTCTTGTAGAATAAAAAAAGTACGATATAATTGGGCGAAAAATTAATATTTCAAAAATACAATCTTTTTTTAAAAAATAAAACACAGCATATTTTTGATACATTCAATTTTTATAATATACGAAATATTTTTTGCAAGAATATAAGAAGACAAATATTCTGTTTTCGTTTTATTTTTATATCTAGGTCTTCAATTTCTGTCGCTCAGGTCGAAACGTTTGTCACTGTTATAAATCAATGAACAAAGACTTTAATATGCATTAAGATACGTCGCATGAAGCATTCAGATTACAAAGAATTACAACATCGCTCGCAATGCGGGAGAGACGGAAATACCAGGCGCC